ATGAATAGAATATGTATTCTTTGCTTTAGTTTATTTTTGTTTTATGGCATATCAACGACATTTTTAGGAGCGATTCTGAATGGGTTATTTAATGGCCGACGACATTTTAGGAGCGATTCGTATTCTTTTGAATAGAATATGTATGCCGACATTTTTGCTTTAGTTTCTTTTTTGTTTATTTTTTTATGGCATATCAACCTGAATGGGTTATTTAATGCCGACATTTTTTAGGAGCGATTCGTTTATGAATAGAATATGTATTCTTTGCTTTAGCTTTAGTTTATTTTGTTTTATGGCATATCAACCTGAATGGGTTATTTAATGCCGACATTTTTAGGAGCGATTCGTATGAATAGAATATGTATTCTTTGCTTTAGTTTATTTTGTTTTATGGCATATCAATCTGAATGGGTTATTTAATGCCGACATTTTTAGGAGCGATTCGTGAATAGAAATAGAAGTTTATTTTGTTTTATGGCATTCTGAATGGGTTATTTAATGCCGACATTTTTAGTTTATTATTTTTTTGTTTTATGGCATATCAACCTGAATGGGTTATTTAATGCCGACATTTTTAGAGCGATTCGTATAGGAATAGATTTAGTTTATTTAATGCCGGCGATTTTTATGAATAGAATATGTATTTTATTTAATGCCGACATTTTTAGGAGCGATTCGTATGAATAGAATATGTATTCTTTGCTGAATGGGTTATTTAATGCCGACATTTTAGATTCGTATGAATAGAATATGTATTTTTGCTTTAGTTTATTTTGTTTTATGGCATATCAACCTCAATGGGTTATTTAATGCCGACATTTTTAGGAGCGATTCGTATGAATAGAATATGTATTTTGCTTTTAGTTTAGTTTATGGTTTTTTGTTTTTATGGCATATGTGAATGAATGGGTTATTTAATGCCGACATTTTTAGGAGCGATTCGTATGAATAGAATATGTATTCTTTGCTTTAGTTTATTTTGTTTTATGGCATATCAACCTCAATGGGTTATTTGAAACTGACAATATTTTCATTCCTTTTGGGTTGGTTGTTTTGTTGTATGATATATGAACCTCAGTGGGTAATTTAATGCCAACAAAATTTTGAAATAGATTCATAGTGATAGTTTAGTTTGGTTTTTTTTTTTTTTTATGGCATATCAACCTCAATGGGTTATTTAATGCCGACAAAAATTTTGTTGCTGATAATATTATTTTTTTTATAAATCTTCTTTGTTTTTTTCAAAAATGTATTGCTGGCAATATTTTTTTCTTAAAAAGTATTTCTGGTATTAACATCCATCTTTACACTTCCATATTGTTTGGATCCCAATTTCAGTGTGGACCTAGGAACACTAGCAATTAAGAGGTGGTTCCATGTTCCTCAAACCTTCTGATCAGAGGCTTTTCTGTTGGACTTAGTTTATCGTCTTACCCAGGGAGAATTGCGCTCCGTATAGTAACAGAGGACAGAAAAGAAATAGAGATCGATTAGACGCCACGCTAATTCCCATATATACATTTCCTTTACCTCACGTGATCTATTTATTGAAAATGGGATCGCCTGCGTTTGCTCTCTGGTGATCAGTGTTCAAACTCCAGTGTCGGCAGCGACAATTTATTCGTATATAACTCTACTGAAAGGAAGAAAAGCGCCATATGTGGGTGGGGATGTTGGCATGTTTTTTTCTTGTGTGAGTGTAATTTTGACTTTTGAAGATTATTGTTTAATGTTGACGGACACGCATGTCTTAATTAGTTTTTTTTTTACGAATTGGTCAAACCCAAACTCAAACAAAAACATTGTTTTCAATCGTTAAGAGTCTATCGATTGAATAGAATTTTATTATAAACAATTGTCTTGTAAATTAAATTTTTAAAGTATTCTGAATGTAAAAATAAAGAAAAAGTGTGCAAGACAATAAGAAACACTACTTGCCAAAAAAAAGTGAAGTTTTGTTGAAATCGGTTGAAAAATGTAGGAAATCAGATCCAATATACAAACGAGCACACACACACACACACACACACAAAGAACCAACCTGGGTTTTATAATAAGTATAACTTGATAACTCAATATTAATAAGTATAACTCGATATGAGTTGTCCCCCTTTCATTAATGCCTCTTAATCGCGTTTTCAAATTGATTTCGTGCAAGAACAATTGTGTTTTTCCAATTTTTGGCACTCTCAGAACCACCGCAAGGTAATTTTACGTAGTCCTGTGAAGTTTTGTTGAAATTGGTTGAAAAATGTAGGAAATCCGATCCAATATATAAACGTACAGACACACACACACACACACACACAATTTGCGTTTTATAATAAGTAAGATTCTGAAATAAATTTCGAATTTCGCTTGGTTAACAATAATATTTTTAAGCTGTTGTATGCAGCTGACAGTTTAGATATTTCTGACGGGGTTCTAGCACAGTGCATAGCATCTATATGAAAGTCGTGCATGGCTCTAAACTCTTGTCAGAAATATCTAAACTGTCAGCTGTGTACAACCGCTTTCTTAGATTAATGGTCAAAAAGAGATTTGAGCGAATAAAGTCTGTGAGTTTTGGCAAAGATCATCCTTCTTTGAACATTGGAAACTGGCGTTACAGAAAACTACAAACAGAGAACTGTACCAAAAAACAGAAACTATATCATTTACGGACTGCCAAGAGCAGCAACGACGAAAATGGATTACACATCTAACTAGAAAAGAAAATGATGAGATAATCAGGATGTTAACATTCCACACCGCTTCAAAAAAAGTTAGGAAGGAACCCCCCCTCAATAATGGAAAGAGTGATAGCGACTACTGAACTTGAAAAAACATGTTTTAATTTAAGAAATTGTTTTAAGAGAACTTTTTGTTTTACATTTCAACCGAAAGCTATAGTAGCCGCACGATTAATGAATGCCAAATGTCTGCTTATAGGCAAACGGCTAATATTACCATTACTATATTGCTCCAAGTTCAAGATATAAAAAAAGGTTTCAATAAAATAGATTTTTCCTACGAACTACTACTTTATGGGATAGAGCTCTTTTTCCTCTTTCATTTCCTTTTTCTCATTTTTGTTATGTTTTGTGATTCATCACTTTACGGAAAATCATTTTTATATCCTTTCTCTTCTCCTCCCTTTATTCTTCTGTACGCTGTGTCTCTTTAGGACATTGGTGATCATGGCTCTCCACAATTGTATTTCCTTTGTAGTACTTAATAAATTTTGTCTTTTTGTTATCGCCCTGCTCCGCCATACATTTAATAAAGCCCGCTGTGTAGGTTACGCATTGCTTTCCTCTGTCACTCTTGCTGTCAATCTGCCATGTGAGTATCAAATTTTCCACGCCCTTTTTCCTCATTATGTGCTCTATAAATGTCAACTTCCCAATGTTAAGTATTAGTACCATTTTCGTTTCCATTTTCTCTAGAACTTTATTGTTGGTGGCATGTTCGGTCCATGATATTCTCAGCATCCTTCTGTTAAACCAAATTTCTGTTGCTTCCAGTCTCTTCTTCATCTGTGAGGAGATTTTTCAGCATTCATTGTCATATAGGAGCACTGATATTACGTAACAGAGAACTGATAACAGTAGTAGTACTCTTTTATTTATTTATTTCCTAATACTCTGCTTAGATTTTGGAATCCCAATGCGCTTTCGAATGTCTGTGTCTCATAATTCGTCCTCTGTTAAAAGACTCACCACACCCCGCAAACACTGAAAAAGATTAAAAGACAAAAGACTTACCGACGCAAAATGTTCACACATGCCTTGCACGTAAAATATGCAGAAAGGAAAATGTCCGCCCCGTGAGTCAAAATATCTAAAGACAATATTGTCACGCGAGACTTTTCGAGATATACGAAGTAGACTCTATATAACGCGAAACCAAATTACTGGGAGGGGGCGTTTTATTTCTTAGTCTTGACTCGTGACTAGTGAATAGTGTGAGTTGTTGCTGGTGTGACTCGAAGTTTTTAAGCTATTGTCACTCACGTAAATTTTCGTGAATTGTTTCCTTTGGTGTTCCCAACGAACTTTTTTCCCAGTGACGGTAGAAACTTAGTCAATGCATTTAGCTTTAAGATCAATAACGACTGAATAGTGAGTTCGATCTTCACTGGGTATGCTTTCGCCCTTGTGTCACATCTATAGGATAAAAATAGTATATATAAATCGAAATGCGATCACGATCTTTGAAAGTATTAGAATGAACGTTCGCCCCTAGGCTTTTGCGGGCAGCAAGTACCCTTTTGAGATCAAATAAATCACTACATCTCAAGGTTCGAATTACACTTTAGGATCCTTGAATAGAACAAATAGTCTTTCATACAAATGCGTGCAATTAATCTGATTAAGTTGTCCAATCAATTAACGATGGTTAAGTGCTATCCCTTAATCTTGTCTCTTAGTTTATTTTCCAGGCAGACATCCGTCACCTCAAAGGATTTTATTTTCTTTGACAGAATAAGTTGCCATCAGATTTCTGAAAAGTATACCAATTAATGCGCGGCCATTTTGTTTACAGCATTTCAGATTTACCATCAGAAAAACAAATCAGAAAGCGTCTTTTGAAATACTGAGAGGATCTTTTGGACATTTAAGTTGCATCGACTCCGATGTTCGCAAATAATGTAAAATAAGAAGAAATATTTAAAGTTGAAATGGCTTTTAGAAGACAAAAATGTAAAAACGAAATCTGAGACGAGTAAGAATTATTTGAAGCGGATGACTGAATGAAGTGAAATAAGAACAAAACAACTGAAGAGTGAATGTTTTTCCTAACGAATGTTACAGTTAATTGATAAAGAATGCTTTGTTTGACTCGAACTCCGATAGATGGCAATTGAACCAGACGCTTATATATTAGAACCAGTAGATATAAAAGCTGGGTTTTAAAGTAAATAAGGGGACTAAGAAAAGATTGATAGGTCGCGAAGAGGAACATTGATGACGTAGGAAAATAGGAGAAGAGTGAAAGAGAAACATTATAAAGGATTATTAAAGGCAAATAAAAGAAAAATAGGAAGAAATGTACAGATGGAACAGAAGAAGAAGAAGAAGAAGAAGAAGAAGTAAAAGAAGAAGAAGAAGAATGAGGAGGAGGAGTAGGAGAAGAGGAAGAAGAAGAAGGCCAGAGGAATAAAAATGTAAAGCAAGAAAAGGGTGGACCAGTTTTAAGACATTACAACTTAAAATATAAGAAAAATAATGAACTATAAACGAAAAAGTAACAGAAAAAGAGGAAAAACGAGGATAAAACTAAATATAAAAGAGAGACAAAATATAATATAAAATATTATGAAACATTAAATAAGATAAAAAAAATGAAGGATAAAGGTCGATGGAGAAAAGAAGGTGAGACATAAGAAAAATGGGGAAAAAATCTGAGAAAGAAGAGAAAAGAGAAGAAAGTGGGGTGAATTTCTAAAACGTGATAAAACTTGAAAGATAAACACTAAAGAAGAAAAAGAAAAAGAATTAACAGTGGAGAAATCGAATAAATAAAAGTAATAAGATAAAAGCTGAAACATAAAGAAAGAAGAAGAAGAAGAAGAAGAAGAGGAGGAAGAAGAAGAAGAAGGAGGAGAAGAAAAAGAAGAGGAAGAAGTAAAAAGAAGAAGAAGAAGAAATAATAATAAGAAGAAAAATCGAATAAATAAGAAAGCAGTGAAGAAAATTAGCTGAAAGAATGCAGCATTACATACAGACCGAAAGCTAAAGACTGAAAAAGAAGGAAAAAGAAGAAGAAGAAGAAGAAAGAAGAAAAAGAAGAAAAAGAAAGTAGAAAAATCGAAGAAATAATAGAGCTGAGAAGAAAGTGAATTTATAAAAGAGAAGAAGAAGAAGAAAAGAAAGAAGAAGAAAGAAGAAGAAAAAGAAGAAGAAGAAGAAAAAGAAAGAAGAAGAAAAAGGAGACGAAGAAAAAGAAAGTAGAAAAATCGAAGAAATAATAGAGCTGAGAAGAAAGTGAATTTATAAAAGAGAAGAAGAAGAAGAAAAGAAAGAAGAAGAAAGAAGAAGAAAAAGAAGAAGAAGAAGAAAAAGAAAGAAGAAAAAGAAGACGAAGAAAAAGAAAGTAGAAAAATCGAAGAAATAATAGAGCTGAGAAGAAATTAAATTTATAAAAGAGAAGAAGAAGAAAAGGAAAGAAGAATAAAGAAGAAGAAAAAGAAGAAGAAGAAGAAAAAGAAAGAAGAAAGAAGAAAAAGAAGACGAAGAAAAAGAAAGTAGAAAAATCGAAGAAATAATAGAGCTGAGAAGAAAGTGAATATATAAAACAGAAGAAGAAGAAAAAGAAAGAAGAAAGAAGAAAAAGAAGAAGAAGTAAAAGAAAGAAGAAAGAAGAAAAAGGAGACGAAGAAAAAGAAAGTAGAAAAATCGAAGAAATAATAGAGCTGAGAAGAAAGTGAATTTATAAAACAGAAGAAGAAGAAGAAGAAAAAGAAAGAAGAAGAAAGAAGAAGAAGAAAAAGAAAAAAGAAGAAAAAAGAAGAAAAAGGAGACGAAGAAAAAGAAAGTAGAAAAATCGAAGAAATAATAGAGCTGAGAAGAAAGTGAATATATAAAACAGAAGAAGAAGAAGAAAAAGAAAGAAGAAAGAAGAAAAAGAAGAAGAAGTAAAAGAAAGAAGAAAGAAGAAAAAGGAGACGAAGAAAAAGAAAGTAGAAAAATCGAAGAAATAATAGAGCTGAGAAGAAAGTGAATTTATAAAACAGAAGAAGAAGAAGAAGAAAAAGCAAGAAGAAGAAAGAAGAAGAAGAAGAAAAAAAAGAAGAAGAAAAAGAAAGAAGAAAGAAGAAAAAGGAGACGAAGAAAAAGAAAGTAGAAAAATCGAAGAAATAATAGAGCTGAGAAGAAAGTGAATATATAAAAGAGAAGAAGAAGAAGAAGAAAAAGAAAGAAGAAGAAAGAAGAAAAAGAAAGAAGAAGAAAAAAGAAGAAAAAGAAGACGAAAAAAAAGAAAGTAGAAAAAACGAAGAAATAATAGAGCTGAGAAGAAAGTGGATTTATAAAAGAGAAGAAGAAGAAGAAAAAGAAAGAAGAAGAAATAAGAAGAAAAAGAAGAAGAAGAAGAAAATAAAGAAGAAGAAAGAAGAAGAAGAAAAAGAAGACGATGAAAAAGAAAGTAGAAAAATCGAAGAAATAATAGAGCTGAGAAGAAAGTGAATATATAAAACAGAAGAAGAAGAAGAAGAAGAAAAAGAAAGAAGAAGAAAGAAGAAGAAAAAGAAAGAAGAAGAAAAAAGAAGAAAAAGAAGACGAAAAAAAAGAAAGTAGAAAAATCGAAGAAATAATAGAGCTGAGAAGAAAGTGGATTTATAAAAGAGAAGAAGAAGAAGAAAAAGAAAGAAGAAGAAATAAGAAGAAAAAGAAGAAGAAGAAGAAAAAGAAAATAAGAAGAAAGAAGAAGAAGAAAAAGAAGACGAAGAAAAAGTAAGTAGAAAAATCGAAGAAATAGTAGAGCTGAGAAGAAAGTAAATTTCTAAAACAGAAGAAGAAGAAAAAGAAGAAAAAAGAAGAAGAAGAAGAAGAAAAAGAAAGAAGAAGAAAGAAGAAGAAGAAAAAGAAGACGAAGAAAAAGAAAGTAGAAAAATCGAAGAAATAATAAAGCTGAGAAAAAGTGAATTTATAAAACAGAAGAAGAAGAAGAAAAAGAAAGAAGAAGAAAGAAGAAAAAGAAGAAGAAGAAAAAGAAAGAAGAAAGAAGAAAAAGGAGACGAAGAAAAAGAAAGTAGAAAAATCGAAGAAATAATAGAGCTGAGAAGAAAGTAAATTTATAAGACAGAAGAAGAAGAAGAAAAAGAAAGAAGAAAGAAGAAGAAGAAGGAAAACAAGAAAAAAATCATAAAAAAAGGAGAACTAACAATAAAAAAAGTATAGTTGGAAAATGCAGTGAAAATAAGTTTTAAGGAAAAGGACGACAGAGAGAAAAGAGGAAAATAAAGACAGAATTTAAAGCAACTATGAGTTTCATAAAAGGGAAAAAATAACATGTGGAATGAAGGCAATCATTTAGAAAGGAAAGAAAATGAAAAAAAAAGATTGACAGAAAAATAAAAATATGAAAATAAAGTGTAAGAATTTTAAATGGAGGATTAACTGGGCTTATTTAAAAAAAAAATGACAACAACAAATTCATATGAACATTCAAAAATTTAAGCAAATTGCCTTTCTCGCCTGTTTCTTTGAGATATTACACATCCATTGCCGTCTTGGTTTTCATCCACGTCCGGTGTGTCCGAGAATTTCTATCAAATTTCGCTCAAACTATCTGGAGAAGGATTTGCAAAGAATCCAAGTTGATGCAGTGCATTATCGAATCAGCTCATTCCTCGTCATGAAACTATTAAGACTTTAAGTTTGTTAGCTAAATGGAAAAGGAAAGAGGAAAAGGAAGATCTTTATGACAAACGTAAAATATTTCCATCTATTGCATGGAAACAACGTTGTCGCCTTCCTCGTGTCTAAAATCGATGCATAATCTCCATTGGTGATCTAGTTAAAAAAAAAGTCTGAATTCGATAAAGTAATTTACAATGTACTCCGAACATCACTGAGTGTAAGATACATGCCCTTCTAACTAGATTTCTAATCTTTTATCCTGTACCTTGAAAAAAACTAAGTTTGGTAAATATTAAGAAACACATTTGTTCAACGATTATTTCCCTTTATAGTTCGATATAATCTTATATATTTTGCTTGCTGGGTTATCTTACTCTTTGCCTCTTTTCGTTGTTTTCTTCCAAAACACGCGGGCAGATCGTCATATAAAAATCACATACACAAATGCACTGGGGAAGTTCACAATATGAATGTATATAAAATTTGTCCTAATTCCCGGGTGGAATCATTGCGCATTTCCGACTGGAACTGGTACTTTTGACACAGTAGGCTTCAGTGGCAACCAATCCGAGAGAAAGAAACCCTGTGATTTCAAAACTAGGAAAAGACCATCAAAAAAGCATTCCACTACCATTCCTAAACGAAAACGTTCTGCTGCCATATATGGGCGGAAGTTGCTCAGTCTTCACTTCCCAGTCTAGATAGACTCCAAAGGCATTTCCGCGTCTTTGCGGGTGATGAATTATTTTCCACCCGATAACTATAGAGTCCTTAGTTCTAAAAAGCTATTACCTTCATAGCTAAGCCCCAACATGCCTCCCACATTGGGGCGAACCATTCCCGTCGTATTCTATTTGCGAGATCCACTTCAGCAGCTTCTTCCTACGAACCTCTGCTTTGTGGACCAACTCCCAAGAGGATCCTTTACCGATCACTATAATCTTAACTTGTTGAAATCTAGGGTAAACAGTGCCTCTTGATCTGTAACTTCTACCGTGAATAGTCCGTGTATAGGCTGAAAATCACTAAAAAAAAAATTCACAGACCTTAAAGCAAAAATAAATCAGTGGAGAGTCTTGATCGACTAAGTCTTGATTAGATATGTCATTAAAAATTCTGTGTAAATAACTTATAGAATCAAGCCTGTGTAGAAAAATCACGTGGTAGAGATAAACACTTAGTTGTGGAGCAAGCTAAGTGAACAATAATCCAACCTTTAGAAAGAGAGCTATTTATGTTGCCATAGAGCGTCTCATTGTGCTAAAGTGGGATAGTCCAGTGCTTGGGCTGTGATTGGCTGCTGGTACCTGAGTGGAGGTATTTCTATATAAATACCAGCTTGATTCATCTGTTAGTTTGCAGGGTTTGTATTAAGTTACAACCTGCTTTATTTTTGTCTGCCAGCTGGACGCTAGCTGGGACCTTTACACCGGTAAGTGCTGTTTATTATTGTTATTCTACAGCCTGAGTCAATAGCTAATCTCTTGAAGTGTCATCATTCAATCCATACATTCTTTATGTCCCTTTGTTTTTTACTCTCCCTCTCCTACTCACTCTCTCGCTATCAAACACACACACACATGTGCGCACACGCTCATACACAAGTACACATATAAAACTTAACCACAAAGTACACAATGGAAACTGAAAATAATCTATATATATATATATATATATATATATATATATATATATATAGCTGTAGCCTCTGTCTTTCTGTCTGTTTGTTATCGATTCTCCTACTAGGATTTTGGAAATAGAACCCATAACCATATATAGGACCCACGGTACTTGCATAAGTATATTGCATTTTGATCAAAGGGAATCTCTTGAGGGGGGACCCCACACACTGAACTTTTTCCATTGGATTTAAATTAAATTTGAACAAGGGGATGACTCCTATCCAAATTAAAGAAGGAGGAAGCCAGAATAGCTGTCAGATCGACAAGATCAAAATGAGACAATATGGACGTCAAGTTGAGCAAGAAATCCTCAATCAATGGTTACTGCCTTAGAATACATATTTCTAGCAACAATTCTACTGTCATATCAATGTTGAAATCTGCCCGCCAATTCATTCAATCAATTATTGCAACAAATACATATAAAAGGTGCTTTTGCAAAAAAAATGACCGATTTTTTTTCCCTTTGATTTAAATTAAATTTAAATTTGAACAAGGGAATGACTCCTATCCAAAATATAGAAGGAGAAAGTCAGAAGATGGGGGTCACATTAGCAAGATCATTGAGTAATATTGAAATGCATCATTTTTATCCACAAATTATAACAATGATTTAAAATCAATCATCATTTACTTACAAAAAATCTGTGACATGCAGCAAGGCGCGGGTGATTCGGCTAGTATTATATAAAAATGTTGGTCTTTTCTTGGTTGAAATAATTGTCTACCTTCTGTGTGGAACCAGCATTAAGTTTTGAACCACTGATCCACTGATAAAAATTAGGGATTTCGAACGCAGATTTTGAAAGCAGGCTGACCCACCATCATAATACGAGAAACCGATAGAATACAATTGCCTCGTCATATTTCTGGAATCAACCATTGTCCGTTCGGGATGTGCGAGAAACAACTTACTCTCCAAACTTTCTTAACGATGTTTATCTTTTTACTGACCGCCCCCACAACTTCCGTTTTGTCATTCATTTACAAACGTTTGCTACGCAGGATACCATCTATTTCCCATCTTTTCTTATTGCCTTTAATATGCGAACGTCATATTCTCAAAGCAATTATTCCTCATTATATATCCAAAAATGTTCAACTCTCCCTTTCTGATTCTAAGCAAAACTGTAATTTTAATTTCCCATTGTTCTTAATGCCACTTCCTTACTCACGTGTTCCATTTCAGCAAAGTTCTGTAGAAAAAAAGTCTCATCTATATCTGTGAAGAATATGTCTAGAATTTACTGTCATATTGGAGGACTGCTATTACATAGCTTTTCAGTACCTTTTTTTATTCTAATCAAATGTTCTTGTTCCTTAATAGTAAACTATTTGGAAATCCTATATTACAATGCGCCTTCGGATATAGGTTTCAGGTATTCTGACGTCTCTTAAAAGAGTTCACCGATATTCAAAATTCTGTTCTATTTTAAAATCTCCAATTCTTATAAATAGTATTAAATTATAAGTAGCAAACGGCAGTGGTACCTACGGAAATAGTACACTACCATTTTGACACTTGTAATTTATATATTCCATCTGTTTATCCCGTAAGTAAAACGTTATATAGGAATAAAGTGTCGCTGTAGACACTTGATTTTGAACATAGATCGCCAGTGAGCAAATATAGGCGATCCTATTACTGAATAAATAAACCACGTAACTATAGAGGAAACGCATAAGTAGGAAGTCATGTGACGTCTAATTGATCTGCATTTCTAGCCTGTCCTCTATTTCTATTCGTTTCACCATTTCTACTCTATAGTATACGGACCGATATGCTCTACTCTATTCACTATACTATCTTTCTATCCAGATTACTATTCAGTGGCTAGTATTCGAACAAATATTATCAAGCATGTACAATTAGTACGAGTGTTATTCGAAGGCGTCTGACACTAGCATTGTTCAACGGTGTTACTATAGTCGTATCTGCGATTACAAAGTCATTACTACAACAAGCACTATGAAACTGACAACGACTATTCGTTGACATCCCAAAAGGAGCAGAGAGAAAAGTTCATTAGAACAATTAGCATCAATGTGTTTATAGAAAAGGCACAAGGAAGCAATGTTACGGCGGTGGTGAAGTAACTGAAGCCGAGATGCCAGTTCCGGACACATAACATTGCAGGCTTTTCTTTGGATTTTATCTCGTAGGAAATCGCGTGAAGTCTAAATGATCGTTATTTGTACTCTCTCGTCTATTACAATATGGATCGCTATTCTCTACTCTATTCATATACTATTTCTCTATTCGGATCACCCTACGGTTTACTATTCAAACCAGTATTATCGAGTATTTGTTTGCATTAAAAAAAGTGGTAAAGAGTTAAGTTCGATATCTCTTGGCAATCGATTGACTGATGTTTCCGCCATTTTAAATTGCCTAACGTAGAATAATTCATCCTTGTATGCGTTCCAGAGTCTTAAAAAAAAAACAGACTTTTACACTCTCCAATTATGGAAGTTTTTTCCAACATTTTGCTTTTCAGTAAACTTTGATCTTCAAAAATTTAAATCCAACGTCAATCGTTATCTAAATATGTTCTTTTATTGTTCTTTCTTTAATAATGTCTTTTTTTTTAATATGCTCTTGTACTCAATAACCCCCCAGCGTTTTATTACCGTTATTGCCTTGCTTGTGGTGAAATGATTTTTTTTAAAATTGTATGACTAAAATGGCTTACTGATGAACCGTCAAAATATGGTCGTGTTTACGAAACACAT